TAGATCCGACCAGGAAATAACTTTGCAGAAAGATTAAAAACCCATCTAAAACCTGAGCTTGGCCGATCAGGATTTGAACTCAAGAGCCTTTTCAACCTAGGATTCTGTGTTAGAGCTATGTTTGGATTTTGGTCGTAAGTTGAAGACTACCCGTGTAGGAGCCTAAACAGAAAGACCCAGCTCTCTGTGTCCACCGACCCGCGGCAAGGAGCAGCCATATTAATTTGAAAGAGAGAATGAGGCATCTGCCAGACTCTGCTCCGTTTTGGTTCCGTTCACTTTCTTCTCTTCCCTTTTCTCCGTAGGAAGATCCTAAGTGGGAATTTCCTCGGAAGAACCTGGTGCTCGGCAAGACTCTGGGCGAGGGAGAGTTTGGCAAAGTTGTCAAAGCGACCGCCTTCCGACTTAAGGGCAAAGCTGGCTACACCACGGTGGCGGTCAAAATGCTGAAAGGTAGGCTCTCCTTGGGAAGCTCTTGAGAATCGTTTGGTAAGAAAAACCCCTGTCTACTTCTGTTCCATAGCTGTCCTACTTATTATAAAGTATACCTAGAAATAGAATAGAATAGAATAGAATAGAATAGAATAGAATAGAATAGAATAGAATAGAATAAGAGTAGAGCAGAGCAGAGCAGAGCAGAGTAGAATAGAATAGACAGATTGTAGAATAGAATAGAATAGAATAGAATAGAATAGAATAGAATAGAATAGAATAGATTGTAGAATAGAATAGAATAGAATAAGAGTAGAGCAGAGCAGAGCAGAGTAGAATAGAATAGAATAGACAGATTGTAGAATATAATATAATAGAATAGAATAGAATAGAATAGAATAGAATGTAGAATAGAATAGAATAGAATAGAATAGAATAGAATAGAATAGAATAACAGAGTTGGAAGGGACCTTGGAGGTCTTCTACTCCAGCCCCTTGCTCAAGCAGGAGAACCTATACCATTTCAGACAAGTGACTGTCCAGTCTCTTCTTGAAAACCTCCAGTGATGGAGCGCCCAGGATTTCTGGAGGCAAGCCGTTCCACTGGTTAATTGTCCTCACTGTTAGGAAATTTCTCCTTTGCTTTGGAAAACAGTTTGACCCCCCTCATCTTTGAAGGAGCCCCTCAAATATTGGAACACTTCTATCACCCCTTCTCCTTCTTTTCATTACAGTAGACAAACTCAATTCCTGCAACTGTCATTCATATGTTTTAGTCTCCAGGCCTTTAATCATCCTAATTGCTCTTCTCCACATGCTTTCCAGAGTCTCACTATCTTTTTTTTATGTTGTGGTGACCAGAAGTGGATGCACTATTCCAAGTCTGGTCTTACTAAGGCTTTGTAGCGCGGTACTAGAACTTCACACGATCTTGATTGTATCCCTCTGTTAATGCAAGCTAGGATTGCATTGGCTTTTTTGGCTGCTGCTCATATTTAAGTGACTGTTCACTAGGACTCCAAGATCCCTCTCACAGTTACTTGCATTGAGCCAAGCTCCACACAGTCTCTACCTATGTAGTTGTTTTTTCTTGCCTAAGTGTAAAATTTCACTTTTCTCTATGTTGAATTTCATTTTGTTAGACAGGGCTCAGTGTTCAGGTCTGTCAAGAACTTTTTGGATCTTGAGCTTGTCTTCTGGGGTGCTGGCTATTCCTGCCATGTAAGGGCACTACTGTGGTCTTCTGTGCCGGATCAATGGTAGTAATTTTATGGGACATGATAGCAGAATGTTAGCTTTGTTGATGCATCTCAGTTAAATTGCCTTTTGATAGAGGCATCTCAGAACTTTATATGGGTGTTCTGTTTCTTAGCTGCCTGTCAGTTTAAGGAGGAGATTTCATGCCTCAAAGCATAAAAATAGCTTCTCTTCTCTTCTCTTCTCTTCTCTTCTCTTCTCTTCTCTTCTCTTCTCTTCTCTTCTCTTCTCTTCTCTTCTCTTCTCTTCTCTTCTCCTCTCCTCTCCTCTCCTCTCCTCCCTTCTCTTCTCTAAATTTGCAATTGGCTTAAAATTCTATGCATCAGAATTTTCTCCAAAGTCTGTGGAACCCTTGGAAATAATCTTCAAATCTATCCAAATCATTTCTGTAACTGATTTGAAGGGTTAGAACACACACAAAAAAAATAAAATGTTGGGACTGGAATACTGACTTCATCCAAAAATGTAAATATCCTCTGAAAAGTGACAATAACCAAGCAGTTAATGAGAAACAGCTTTAAAACTTGTTCTGCTTTGAACAAATTACTTTCTCTTCTCTTTAATTTAGTATCAGAGTTTCGAAACCACTTTCAAACAAAAAATGCCACATTTGCAGGTTGCCCTTTGGGCAGAATATTGCTCCACCATCATTTTACATCAGGAATAATTGTCCTGAAATTCTTATCTTTTATGTTCTTTCACCTTTTGCAATTTTACCTTTTAGCTCGCAGTGAAGAAAATACATCCGTGAAAAGATTAGACAGGACTCAAATCCAAAGCGATGTCAGATTTCAAGTGCCAGAAGAGTTTCAAAATTAAATTCAGCACTATCCATGGATGAATCAGATTCTTGGAAACCGTGGTTGAAGCAGCCAAACCAGTGTAATCTAACATTCTCAGAAAAATGTCATTTTTGGGCTGTTTTTCTTTGAAAATTGACAGTGAAGGAAAGAATCACAGGGAATGAAAAAAGAAAGCCCTTTTTCTGGAAGTAAAATAATAGAATAGAATAGAATAGAATAGAATAGAATAGAATAGAATAGAATAGAATAGAATAGAGAAAAGGAATAGAATAGAATAGAATAGAATATAGAATATAGAAAGAATAGAATAGAGTAGAGTAGAGTAGAATAGAATGTAGAATAGAATGTAGAATAGAATAGAGAAAAGGTATAGAACAGAGAAAAGGTATAGAATAGAATAGAATAGAATAGAATAGAATAGAATAGAATAGAATAGAATAGAATAGAATAATAACATTATTGTCACTTTGAATGTACACTAATCGGCATACATTAAAATGAAATTTCATTGCATGCAGCTCCCAAAGGGTGACCACCTCCGATATACGCTACATAAATATGATAAAAATATATAAGTAAATACAGAATTATGCATATATCCACATACATTATATGACACAGAGAGACATCACAGTCTAGTTCAGATCATGTATACATATGCATGGCGAGAAAAAAAAAGTTACATAATAGGAAGGCACTTTGAAATTAAAAGTCCAAGCAAACACGTCTGTGGATCCCAATTCTTGGACTTAAACAAGTTTGATTTCTTTCCAAATCAAGAGTTGTGCTTTCCAATTCTTCCAAGTTGTCCTTCCTAAACCCCCCTGCACAGTATAATTCCCCTGTTCTTTCTTTAACCCCTAATAAATATAATCAGCCATGCAGCTTTCCTGGAACAGTTTAAATGGATGTGTCACTTTCCACCCAAATGTGTCGGCACTCTCCCCCTTATAATTACTGTGTGAGTCATCCTTCATTGGCAATCGGATAACAGTTAAAAGATTGTGTAATGCTCAGGAATTGTTCAGCTCAACACCTGCCAGGGATGACTGGCCTGGTTGCTGAATTAACAGTTATCTGTAAATGTCTAAGGAGATTCTCAGCCACCCTAGGTCCTGGTTGTCCCAAAGGTGCTTTTTCAGGAGGCAACTGGACTTTCTTGTTTTTCTTTGAAGACGTTTCTCTTCTCATCCAAGAAGCTTCTTCAGCTCTGACTGGATGGTGGGGAATGGAAGGATTTATACTCCTTGCAGACAGAGCTGGTCATTTGCCTTCTTTTAGAGAGTCTTCAACAGGGAAGGGACCCAGGGGAGAAAACATCCTGTAGCCAAGAAGGCTCCACACCCATTTGCACTACTTGGGTGACCCTGAGGACACAGACAATCCCCCAAGTGGCTTCAATGTCTCTCTAAAAGAAGGCAAATGACCGGCTGATATTCTCGGATATTCCTGAATATCCCCAGATATTCCAGCTGAACCCCTGCTCGCTCTTCTGCCCGCCCAACATGGTGTACCTAAAGGCGGAGGAGTGCCCCCGTCTTTGTGTTTAATCGGGGCACCCAGGTGGAGTGCGCCAGGAGGGTGGCCACTGCCCTTGGGGGGGGGTGTCTCTTCCTCCAGGACGCATCCTGCGTGCAGCTCAGCCATTTAACATAGCATGTTTATAGCATTTAATATATAAAAAAAAATAGCTTGCTTTTGCCACGGTGTCCCGAAAAGGAAGAGTCGTTGCTCCATTATTTACATACTATTCGAATGTGTAATTGCCAAATCCTGCCTCAAGTCATAGAACCGTGTCTCTTCCTGCTCTGTTCCTACAGAGAATGCGTCCGTAAGCGAGCTCCGGGATCTGCATTCGGAGTTCAACCTTTTAAAACAGGTGAACCATCCTCACGTCATCAGGCTGTACGGTGCTTGCAGCCAGGACGGTACGTATTTTGGATTTGATTCCTGGAGAATTGGCTTTCCAGAGTAAAAGGATGAGCAAGAGAGAATGAGTGGCCTTAATAGTAGAAGTTGGAGGAACGAGGGAAGGAAGGGTCACAATAGAAGATAGAACAACAGAGTTGGAAGGGACCTTGGAGGTCTTCTAGTCCAACCCCCCTGCTCAGGCAGGAGATCCTACACCATTTCAGACAAATGGTGGTCCAATCTCTTCTTGAAAACCTCCAGTGATGGAGCATCCACAACTTCGTTCCGTTGCTTGATTGCCCTCACCAATGGAGTGTATCCGTGGGAAAAAGTTGAGAGACATGGTCTAGCCGTATAAAGAGAAACGATCCTGGGCAATTGTGGTCTTTTTAAATTCCTGGACAAAACATTCAGGGTTTAAATCTAGGTTTGCCTCGGAAGAACCCACCCCTGTTAAACGTGGGTAGCATGGTCTTGTTTATCTGGATTATTTAAATGGCTGTCACGAGCCCTGGCCTCAGATTCTCCATTTCTAAGCCACGCACACTCTTAGGCAATTGCCTGTTGTATTGAAGGAGGGAGGGAGGGAAGGAGGGAGGATAGAAGGAAAGAAGGAGGGAGGGAGGAGGAAGGAACGAAGGAAAGAAAGGAAGAAGGAGAGAGAAAGGAAGGAAGGAAGAAGGAGAGAGGAAGGAAGGAAGGAAGGGAAGGAGTGAGTGAGTGAGGAAGGAAGGAATGGAAGAGAGGGAGGGAGAAGGAAGGGAAGGAGGGACAGGAGGGAGGAAGGGAAGGAGGAAGAAAGGGAGGAAGGAAGGAAGGAAGGAGGAGGGAGGATGGAAGGAAGAAAGGAAGGGAAGAGGGAGGGAGGAAGGAGGGAGAGAGGAAGGAAGGGGAAGGAAGGAAAGGAAAGAATGGAAGAAAGAGAGAAAGGAAAGAAGGAAGGAATGAGAGGGAGGGAGGGAAGGAAGGAAGGAAGGAAGGAAGGAAGGAGGGGAAGAAACAGGAGGGAGGGAGGAAGGGAGGATGAAAGGAAGGGAGGAGGGAGGGAGGAAGGAAGGAGGGAGGAAGGATGGAAGGAAGGGAAGAGGAAGGAAGGAAAGGAGGGAAGGAAAGAAAAGAAACAGAAAGTAAGTAAGTCTGAATTCTTAAAGTCTCATACAGGAGACTAATCCCCCAACGGAGAGGATAACACTTCTGAATGTGCGATGCGTAAAACTAAAATGAACTTCTCTTGGTGCAAACTAAAAAAAAATAAAAATAAAGACCTTGCCAAATTTGTTTTGCAGGCGTATCTGTTGAGGGCAAGTTGATTGAACTTCTCTCTCCCGCCCTCCCCTTTTGTTTGACCTCAGGGCCTTTATACTTAATAGTGGAGTACGCTAAATACGGCTCCTTGCGGAGTTTCCTAAGGGAAAGCCGGAAAGTGGGACCCAGCTACGTGGGAAACGATACAAACAGGAATTCTAGCTACTTGGACAACCCAGACGAGCGGGCCCTGACTATGGGTGACTTGATCTCCTTTGCGTGGCAGATCTCCCGTGGCATGCAATACCTTGCCGAAATGAAGGTAGGGGGTTCCCCTTTCACGCCCGCCCTCTTTCTGTGACCTTTAACCTTTATTCGCGTCAACGAGTAACGTTAATTTCTGACTTGTTTTTTGTTTCGTTTGTTTCTCCCAAGCTGGTTCACCGTGATTTAGCAGCCAGGAACGTCTTAGTAGCAGAAGGGCGTAAAATGAAGATTTCTGACTTTGGTTTGTCTCGAGACGTTTACGAAGAGGACTCTTACGTCAAGAGGAGCAAGGTGAGGAAGGCAATTATTTATTCCCACAGCGATCTCTTGATTTGAAGGGTCTATAAATGACTGCTAGGAAATATCGGGACTTAGAACAGCGAAGACAGTGGCTAACGGAGTTGTGCTCCATTTTACGACCTTTCTCAGTCAGAGTTGCTAAGTCCGTCGCTGCAGTTGTTAAGTTAGTAACACGGTTAAGTGAATCAGGCTTCCCCATTGACTTTGTCAGGCGGTTGCAAACGGGAACCACCTGACCCCCGGGACACTGCGACTGCCATAAATGTGAGTCAGTTGCCAAACGTCTGAATTTTGCTCACGCGACATGGGGATGCTGCAACGGTTGTATGAAAAACGGTGCTAATCACTTTTTTCAGCGCCGTTGCAATTTTGGTTACTCCGTGAAAGATTGTAAGTCCAGGACTATCTGTATAACATTCCAAAAAGGTTATTCTAGTGATTTGGGCTGAGAGAGAGAGGGACTGGCCCAAGGTCACCCAACTGGTTTCATGGCTAAGGTGGGACTTGAACTGAGAATCTCCTGGTTTCTAAATCGGTGGCTTAACCACTAGTCCGTGCTGGCTCTGTGTTTCAACAGCAGTGGGAATTTAAAAAAAAGAAAACGTATTACAATTCCAGAAGTTGTGGGTGCTCCATCACTGGAGGTTTTTAAGAAGAGACTGGACAGCCGTTTGTCCGGAATGGGTCTCTTGCTTGAGCAGGGGGTTGGACTAGAAGACCTCCAGTGTCTCTTTCAACTCTTGTTATTCTATTCTATTCTATTCTATTCTATTCTATTCTATTCTATTCTATTCTATTCTATTCTATTCTATTCTATTCAAGACAAGGAGCATCAGAATAAAGACTAGATCATTTTAATTGGAAGGCCTCTCCCTTTATGGGAGTACCAGAATTCTTGTAACTACGTAACCAAGGTAAATCTGCATATCGTAGCATATGAATCTTGGCTGGGCCCAGTTAGTGCAACTGGAAAATCCATCCTCAACTAACTCATCTCTGAGAAAAAGCAACGAGAGAAGCTGAAAGCGAGGGATTAAAAAAAAAAAGAACTGTTTGCCGATAGTGGTTTTAGAAGTAACGTTCAGATATGCTTGCAACAAGTAATATATATATATATTTCTCTTCCCATAGGGTCGAATACCTGTAAAATGGATGGCAATAGAGTCTCTCTTTGATCACATCTACACAACCCAGAGTGATGTGTAAGTTGAGTTGTGCTATTTTTATTTATTTATTTATTTTATTTATTTAATTGAATTTTTACCCCGCCCTTCTCCTTACGGACTCAGGGCGGCTGACAGCCTGATAAAAAACAAATACAAAAATACCCCGATTTAAAAACATAATTAAAATGAAATATAGGATTTGGCCTGTGTCAATTTAAAATTATTTTTAAAACCCCACTAAAAATCTCCCCCTAGGCCAGTCCTGCTTGTTGAAATAGCCATGTCTTAAGGGCGCGGCGGAAGGAAGGGAGATCCGGGATCACCCGGATCTCTGGGGGTAGTTCATTCCAGAGGGTGGGGGCTCCCACTGAGAAGGCCCTCCCCCTGGGAGTCGCCAGCCGGCACTGTCTGGCTGACGGCACCCTGAGGAGACCCACTCTGTGGGAGCGTACCGGCCGATGGGAGGCACTCTGAGGCAGAAGGCGGTCTCGGAGATATCCAGGTCCGAT